TAGACTCACTATAAACTTTCTCTCTCATGAACACTCAATCATTTTCATTTCCTTCACGTTCTTACTCTCTTTCAACTTCCTGATTCAGTAAATATTTTCTCTTAACACATTTATCAACATTTATTCGCGTGGAATGACCAAATATTTATAACAAGTATTTATAATCTTACTATTTAGTGATTTTTTTTAACTCCACATCTTCAATTTCAATTCTAACTATATATCATCAAAGAACAATAAATGCATCTCGAATCCATTTCAAGAGCTCTTAAGTCATGTTTTTTTTTTAATATCTATGCTGTCTTGCTACATATTGTCAGTACACTGGTATATAAGGTCAGTACATTGGCATATAAGGTCAATACATTGCTACATAAGGTCAGTACATTGCTACTTTATGCTCCAGGGAGTTCGTCTCCCAGACTTCCTCTACTCTCAATCTCTTCTGCTCAATGCCCTATGTTATAAAATTATGGAGCCCCCAGGTATATAAACTAATTATACATATATATGATTAAACTCTCTGGGTACCTTATTTCAGGATGAAATTCACACACGATCAGGTTCATACTTGGCTCTTAGTTACATGAGACGTCGGATCCATATATGGCTTGGGTTTATCCCAGACAAGTTTCAGTGGAAGGTTAATGGTTGTTAATTGCAGATCTGGTTGCTAACCAGTCATGCATCAACGAAGTAGTTACTTACACTACCGTGAATGAAACCAGGAGAAAGGGGGGGTTGAAAATTGATGGAGCTTCGTAATTGACAGTAAGTCACATTAGGCTTGACGCTATACTGAGTCGACAAGTGAAAAAAAAGACAAGTGAACGCTGATTGGTTTAATGTCCACCATAAATGGGCAGAGATGACCACGCTGGCTCCCCATTGGTCAACGTTCTACTGCTGCTTACTCGCCAGGAATTCACAGTAAAGGCTCGTTTGGTACCCTGTGTTAACAATACTAATTCGGTTTGTCGGGGACAGGATGTCTGTGAATATATATAAACACCTTTGGCTTGTATCGAGGCTTCCCCAAAGGTCGAGCAAGTGACGTTCCCCAAGATGCAACACCCACAACAGTCGCCTAGCTCCCGGGTACCTATTAAGTGATTAGATGGAAAAAAAAAACATGCTCAATCATATCTGTTTCGCCCGGGAATGGAACCCGGGCTCCCCGATGATGAATCGAGAAAGAAGCCAACTGTTCTAATGAGACCCTTTGATGAATGTTCTCGTAAAATGTTTACTAGATCATAGAGTAGTCGGTCAGAGGCACTTGGTAACTCATCATTCACCTAGGAAGTCATCATTCACCTAGGAAGTCATCATTCACCTAGGAAGTCATCATTCACCTAGGAAGCCATCATTCAACTAGGAAGCCATCATTCATCTAGGAAGTCATCATTCCTCTAGGAAGTCATCATTCATCTAGGAAGTCATCATTCATCTAGGAAGTCATCATTCATCTAGGAAGCCATCATTCAACTAGGAAGCCATTTTTCAGGCAAATTAGGGACATCATAATTGAAGGAATGAATGAAACGCAAAAAAACGCCCCCTAAACCATCTAATACATCTCATTTTCAGCCGACTCATGTAATCCGCTAAAAAAAAAATCCGACGCGTTATTAAAAAAATAAATCTTCGTAATATTAACATTTTTCAATACATGGGCCTCGATAGGTTAAGGTGAATTGCTTTGGTTCGTTTGTCTCCTGTTAGGCAAAAACAGTTCAATTATTTTACGGAGTGGCCAATAGAGTGAATGGAAGCCGTCAGTGTTCCCTCCTCACTGGCAGATGATACCTTAGTATATGGGCTTCCTGTCCCCAATAACGAGAATTTTATAAGCATATATATATATATATCTAGTGCCTCAATGAGTTGTTCTCAATAACAACATTAGCTTTGCAACGTGCCCAGTCAATCGTCAATGTTTGGCTGCCGTTACTCGAATGATCACGTCTCTAATATAACTCAACCAGCGGCATGAACACAGGATAGTCTGAAAGTCAGGATAATCAGGATAGCCTGGAAGTCAGGATAATCAGGATAGTCTGAAAGTCAGGATAATCAGGATAGTCTAAAAGTCAGGAGAGTCTGGATAGTCTGAAAGTCAGGATAATCAGGATAGCCTGAAAGTCAGGATAATCAGGATAGCCTGGAAGTCAGGATAATCAGGATAGTCTGAAAGTCAGGATAATCAGGATAGTCTAAAAGTCAGGAGAGTCTGGATAGTCTGGAAGTCAGGATAGTCAGGATAGTCTGGAAGTCAGGATATCCCTCAAAATAAGGAAGGAAATGAACTATCAGGAGAAAGCGCCAAGCTAGCCATTACGGCCATAAAGCACTTCGAAGGGATCAGGATAAGGATTTGGGATGGGACCAAATCCTGGAGAAACGTCCTAGAAAAGCGATCAAACTATCCTGGGGGGGGACACGTAAGGATCTATTAGGCTGTTCCTAGGAGGAATAAGCATCGTTTGCTAACCTGAGACATTCGGTTGCTTTATCAGTATTGTTGTGATTTGATTCTTTATATTTCTGATGGTTATTATTACAACAAAATATATTTACCACATTGGTGTGAGAGGAACAGACCTGTGATAAGTATTTGAAATGAGAATTGTGGAGACTTTGGCCCTATTTGCACTTATGTAACATTGTGTACATATTTGGGTTCTAATTAATGAATATATATATATATATATATATATATATATATATATATATATATATATATATATATATATATATATATATATATATATATATATATATATATATATATCCTCGTTTTCTATGCATGAGTTGGTTAGATTAAGCTCGTCCGTTTCTGGTCAGATTAAAACGTTGTATTTTGTACGTTGTGGCCAATCAACCAAAAACGGGGTGTATAATTAACATCAGGAGATACCTGGGAAATATTGCATCAAGATGTCCTCCTCCAAGGAAGCTGGCGTGAGAAAGTATACACTGTAGTAGACCTCAAGAGTAGAAGTGAAGGGGCTGATGAAAAAGTCCTACTTACAAGTCCTACTTTCCGGGGCTCAATAGCCCCGCGACCCGGTTTCCGGTGGAAGAAAGTGCAGAAAGAAGTGATGACTCGGATGAGACAAGTTTTGAAGGGTCAGTTAGGGAGCCACTAAATATGCAAGTTTTGAGATTATTTAAATTTGGACACGCAGTTGTAAGTACAACGTGAGGACGGGGAAGTTCAAGAAATGCGAGAAGAATAAAAAGTTACAATCCCACCAGAAAGAGTTACAATCCCACCAGAAAGAGTTACAATCCCACCAGAAAGAGTTACAATCCCACCATAAAAAGTTACAATCCCACCAGAAAGAGTTACAATCCCACCAGAAAGAGTTACAATCCCACCAGAAAGAGTTACAATCCCACCATAAAAAGTTACAATCCCACCAGAAAGAGTTACAAGCCCAGGAAAGAAGGCTCACAGCCTAGCAGAAGCAAGAGCGTTACAATCCTAGCAGAATTGTAACTCTCTTATTTACATAATTAAATACAGAATTGTAGCACAGATAATTTACAAGCCTATCAAAAAGTTCAAATAAGCCCAAATAAATGTTACACAGTTGAACAAACTCATTAGAAACACACACAGACACACACACACACACACACACACACACACACACACACACACACACACACACACACACACACACACACATTTACAGGAGTCATTGCTGTAAACAACCGATAGCTAGAAAGGCACACACACACACACACATACACACACACACACACACACACACACACACACACATACACACATACACACATATTTACAAGCTGAAAGGTAAATCCAGCATGATAACTTAAAACAGATGAGTTAGAGAGATATAAAACTAACAGTGAAGGATAAATAAAGAATTGTTGAGAAAGTAGCAAAAGCAACAACGTTCCTAAACTTGAAACAATATCCACACAAAAATAGAGGTTGCATTTGCATTTATAAATATGCAACACAATTTTATAAGGAAAGGACGTCTGTTAGATACACAACGATATCACAATAAGTTTATACGTATAAGAAAATCTTTGGAGCTGGAAGGTGGGATCGAACTACCGTCTGTTAGGCTTTTCGAAATCTTCTACGCTAACCTTTTTTTTATGCAGTAGTTGCTTAACTCCAAGGTGAATAGAGGCATTGGGTGACTATAGAATCATACTCGGGATCTAACCGGTATTGAGTTGACTGTGTTAACCACTGCTAGGAAACCTGACATATACATATACATTATATTATATATATATATATATATATATATATATATATATATATATATATATATATATATATATATATATATATATATATATATATATTTACGCGGGTTGAGACGCTTGTCGTTTCCCGTTCCGCTCCTAAGAAATTCATCTCACAGGTACCTTGAGGTCACCTTGAGATGATTTCGGGGCTCAGCGTCCCTGCGGCCCGGTCCTCGACCGGGCCTCGTACAAGTTAGACATCACAAATGGAAAACTTCATTATGGGTAAAATTTCTTTCCTAGCATTTCTACAAGAAACTATAACTAACGTTCAAGGGACATCCAGACGTACCTAACACTATACCCGCCAATTTCTGCACCCAGCATAAACTTCTTTTTCTTAAGAGTAACAATATTATTTTAAGATGAGAACAGACAAAGAGATTGGCTTAATACATAGTATTAATATATAAGCAAATACAACTAGGGAAAAAAACGAAATTGATTTAGTCCTTTTTAACAGAGATGTTGCCATGATTTGACATTTCCCTTATAAGCAACAGTGACATAGAACCTTCATGCAAGGTATCATCATTTTCAGCGTTTATGGAGAGCAATTGATTTTTCCAAACATAAAATTATCAGTGATTAACGATCCGTAAAACGAGTAATGCATTTATGATCCTATCATTAATGACATCACAAAAAATCCTATAAGCACATAACTCATTGTCAAGGCTAAAATGACCATTGTCTGCAAGTCACCCACTTTTGTCTGCTTTTGTCTGCTCGATATTATTGTTGTGTGGGGCCCCAGCAGGTGTGTGGGGCCCAGGAGGTGGCAACTGCACAGTGCTGCCGTTCTGGTCATTTTGGTGACTCAGCACTGGAGGTCTGTGGTGCTGAGAGTATGGCCCATGTTGACTCAGCACTGGAGGTCTGTGGTGCTGAGGGTATGGCCCATTTTGACTCAGCACTAGAGGTCTGGGTTGCTGAGAGCATGGCCCATTTTGACTCAGCACTAGAGCTCTGGGGTGCTGAGGGCTTGGCCCATGTTGACTCAGCACTAGAGCTCTGGGGTGCTGAGAGTATGGCCCATGTTGACTCAGCACTGGAGGTCTGGGGTGCTGAGGGTATGGCCCATGTTGACTCAGCACTAGAGCTCTGGGGTGCTGAGAGCATGGCCCATGTTGACTCAGCACTAGAGGTCTGGGGTGCTGAGAGTATGGCCCATTTTGACTCATCACTAGAGGTCTGGGTTGCTGAGAGCATGGCCCATGTTGACTCATCACTAGAGGTCTGGGTTGCTGAGAGCATGGCCCATGTTGACTCAGCACTAGAGGTCTGGGTTGCTGAGAGCATGGCCCATGTTGACTCAGCACTAGAGGTCTGGGTTGCTGAGAGCATGGCCCATGTTGACTCAGCACTGGAGGTCTGGGTTGCTGAGAGCATGGCCCATGTTGACTCAGCACTGGAGGTCTGGGTTGCTGAGAGCATGGCCCATGTTGACTCAGCACTGGAGGTCTGGGTTGCTGAGAGCATGGCCCATGTTGACTCAGCACTAGAGGTCTGGGGTGCTGAGAGTATGGCCCATTTTGACTCATCACTAGAGGTCTGTGGTGCTGAGAGCATGGGCCATGTTTACTCAGCACTATCGGTGGATGAAATGTGGAATAATATCTGTATCCATACAGACAATACCAAGCAAAGCAGGGGGGGGGGGGGGTGTGGTGCTGATTTCCTACTCCACACAAGCAACAGGCACAAGTTCGGGTTAAACAGCGCTGACAGCTAGTCACACACCAACTCAAGTCCGTCGCTGGGCCTAGTATCAGTGGATGGGCGAGTAGTGCTGACATTCCAGCTTATACTGACGCCCTTCCAGAGGTGGATTGATTGATTTGATTGTTGCCGCCGAAGGCGACTAGTTTATTGTGCACCCCATACTCATCCTGTGAGCGGTAGCGCAAAAGCATTACAGAGGGCACAAAAGGTCTTTATCAGACCTCATCTTAGATTATTACATAAACAATTTCTTCAATCCTTCACACCTTATAGATACAATGTCAGCTAGTTACAGAGAAAGTGCTGTTACAAGAGCTACATATTTACAGTAAGTCATCATACATTAATGGTAGGTCTTGTCGTTAAAACATAATAGTTTGGCCAATGGGGATATTACAGAGTCATAGGGAAGCTTCTGTTTATTATTAGTCCTCACAATACACTACATGGAGATAGCTGACATCCTGACTCAGCCCCACCAGACAGCTGGATAATTGGCCGTGGAATGGTTTACAATCCACACTAACACATCCATCTCAACTCAGATCAATAGCCATACAAGTGTCCTTCATGGCATAGAATCAAGCATTATCTTGGATCTAAATCACTAGGTCAAGTAAGAGGGCCATCTTCCATGCTCTAATGTTCTCTCGGTCAACACTATGATATCGTTATAGAACATGAGCTTTAGTTGAGATCTTCCGAGATATATCGCGACTGATATCATCGTCAAAAATTAGGAGCATTATCTGAAATTTTCCAAGGAATATCACGATGGATGGATATAACTAGATGGAAGAGCAACATCAATAAAAGTAAGAGTAAAATGATGGAAATGGGAACAAGTGCCAGGATATCAAAAGAACAGTACACAATAAAAGGAAACGACCTCCCTATAACGACTAGAAAAAAAAAAAAAGACCTGGGTGAGGACATAACACCAAGCCCAGCCAAGACATAACACCCCAGAGGTACATATAAATAAGATAACACCAGCAGCATTCTCTACATCAGCAAAAGTCAGAATATTTTTCAAGAACCTAAGTAAATAGTCATTTAAATCATCGTTCACTACCTACACGAGACCGGTTCTTAGGTAGGCCATACAATTGTAGATCTCTTATCTAAAGAAAACACATAAGGAAACTCGGTAAGATACAGAAGTTTGCAACGAAATTTGTCTTAGAATAAAGGAGGAGGAGGAATTAAGAAAACCTGAAAGAACTAGACCTTATTAGAGAAAGAGAGAGAGAGAGAGAGAGAGAGAGAGAGAGAGAGAGAGAGAGAGAGAGAGAGAGAGAGAGAGAGAGAGAGAGAGAGAGAAAGAGAGTAGATATGACAGAGTCGTACCATGTTTACTCTCTTTCATGAAAAAGGAAATGTTCACATTGAATACCAAGAGAATAAAAGTGGAAGTTGGTCAGGATTGAATTATACAATCGGCAGTTAGACATGCACAGTCCAAAAGCTAAACTTTGATCCCTCAGGCACATATGTGTGAGTACAGACGTGTACACACACACACACACACACACTCACACACACATACACACACACACACACACACACACACACACACACAAGACAGGGTTAATGTACTTGGCTGGAGAAATGTCGCTAGCGAAGTATCTCAAGATTCATTTCTTGCACCGGTATTGTAAATTATCTTAATAAATAATATTCCTGAGGAGATATACATAGTTACGTGAATAAGTTTGCAGATAATAACTTGCTGTCCAGAGACTTTCATGACTGTTTTGGGCCCTAAAGTGACTCCGAGAGAATGATTGAAGCATCACTTAGCAGACGAAATTCAACTTAAGTATCACGAAATAAAATAGGAAATTAGGTAAAAACTAATGTAACTAATTAGGTAAAAACTAAAAATGTAATTAGGCAACATTTATACCCTGCAAATTATTTGAAAAATATATTAAAAGCCTCAAGGAGTGGGTCCGTCGCCAGAGGATCAAATAGACATTGCCAGAAGAACCTAAGGTAGATTGCAAATTTAAGAACCACGTAAAAATTTTATGGATGGAGAAATATAAAGAAACTGAGATTAAAACTGGAATATGCAGTAGCCCAGTAGTAGCGGAGCCGGTCGGCCGAGCGGACAGCACGCTGGATTTGTGATCCTGTGGTCCTGGGTTCGATCCCAGGCGCCGGCGAGAAACAATGGGCAGAGTTTCTTTCACCCTATGCCTCTGTTACCTAGCAGTAAAATAGGTACCTGGGTGTTAGTCAGCTGTCACGGGCTGCTTCGTGGGGGTGGAGGCCTGGTCGAGGACCGGGCCGCGGGGACACTAAAAGCCGCGAAATCATCTCAAGATAACCTCAAGATAGCCCATACCTCAAAGATGCACATAAACAGATTTAGAAAGAATGCAAAGACACGATACCAATAGCACCAGGAATGTTGTTGTTGTTGTTTTAGATTCAGCTACTCGGAACTAAAGTTCAAAGTAGCACGGGCTATGGTGAGCCCGTAGTGGACTTACCTGGCACAGGAGCGGGGCAAGTAGCACGGGCTATGGTGAGCCCGTAGTGGACTTACCTGGCACAGGAGCGGGGCAAGTAGCACGGGCTATGGTGAGCCCGTAGTGGACTTACCTGGCACAGGCGTGGGGCAAGTAGCACGGGCTATGGTGAGCCCGTAGTGGACTTGGTTCCCGGAGCTTAAGAACTTAAGATGTGAAGGCAGGCTGAAGGCGTTAAACATACCAAGGCTATAAATTTAGAAGGAAAACGTGGAGATATGATCACTACGTAGAAAATAGTAACAAGAATCTACACAATTTAAAAAGGGCGATTTATTGAAACCTGGAACTTCAAGAACAAGAGGACATGGCTTTCAAGCTAAGGAAATAAGATGCCGAAAAAATATAAGGAAAATAACTTTAATACAAAAGAGTTATAGAGGATTGGATCAAGTTAAATGAGAAGGTTGTAGATGTCAAAACCATCAAAAGTGGACAAGATTGCCTATGACAAAGAGTACTGGGAAGACGGGACACCAAGAGCGTAGCTCGCATCCTGTAATAACACTTTGGTAATTACACTTTTATAACTACAAACACACATACAGGACCCGCACGAGTTCATTAACACCTGTATGAGAATCTTGGCATAACAAACAAAGTAGCACGGGCTCACCATAGCCCGTGCTACTTGGAACTTTGTTCCAAGTAGCAAATCTTTAACAAAAACATAACAAACAAAATATCTCTCAACACCTAACTATTAGAGTAAGACTCTCTAAAGAAACCTATGATATCGACAATTATGTGAAAAATTAAACTAATCCAAGACACTTGGTGCTAACACGCCCAACCACTTGGGCTGGACGGTAGAGCGACAGTCTCGCTTCATGCAGATCGGCGTTCAATCCCCGACCTTCCAAGTGATTGGGTACCATTCCATATCGCACCGGCCCATCCCAAATCCTTATCCTGACCACCCTTCCAAGTGCTATATACCCATAATGGCTTGGCGCTTCCATCTGATAATCCCTTTCCTTGGTGCTAAGACAATGTCATCCCCCATACTGTAAGCTGAAACTTCAAGCTGAGCCAACAGGTGACGGAAGACATGCTAAGAACCTCCTCTCCCTTGGGTTAGCAAAGATGTAAGGGGTCTGACATGTAATTACCATGTCTTTCAATGATGTTGAATAATGCAGTGACCTAGCGACACAATATGCTAATTATTAGTTAAACATTGAGGATGAGACGGGGATAGAAAAATATTATGGATGTTGCTGTACAAAGAGCAACAAATTCAACCTTGAAAAAAAGTCTGCCATTGAACCAGCGAGTGTGTGTACAGGATAAGACCTGATTCTCAAGTCTAACATATGAATGGATGGTAACGGATCACTTACACTAGCAAATGAGTTGAATCACTTGGACTGGACGGTAGAGCGACGGTCTCGCTTCATGCAGGTCGGCGTTCAATCCCCGACTGTTTACGTGGTTGGGCACCATTCCTTTCCCCCTCCCTCCCATCCCATCCCAAAATCTGATCCCTTCCAAATGCTGTATAGTCTTATACCACTTGGAAAGGGTCAGGATAAGGATTTGGGATGGGGGATAGCTTAGTGTTCTACGACACTCAACTATCACATTAGCATGTAATAAAGGATTTGTCTTGAGATTTTTATCAAAAATATATATAGTGCAATAATAAAAATTTTCAAAGTTTACATAAAAAAATAAGCAAACAAAATGATGTTTATAAATATTTATAAAATCAATAAATGTACTTAGGAAAAAAGCCTTAGTTATATTGTATTAGTAAAATTTTTTTGACATAATTCAATATTTTTTTCTCCCTTCCTATTTATGCTACGATGCTGAGACTTGAACCAGTTGAAGCCCTATTTCACATACAACTGTTCAGAAAATTTTGATTGAAATCGAACCAGTTTTCATTCATTGCATATTTATTGTTATGCCCCCCCCCCCCTCCCTCCGTAGTGAGATGTGGAAGGGAATTATGAAGAGAAAGCGCTAAGCGGAATAATTTTAAGTATGGCGTTGTTCTGACTAATTTGACAGCATAATTGTGATTTAGTACAGACAGGGGTTCTAATATTTGGAAGCCAAAGTCCAATTTAGAGGATACAAAAAGTCTGATTTAGTCCCACTTGAAATCTGATACAGTGTTTGCAGTTGTTTGATGTAGTGATGACAGTATATAATGTGACGTAGTTTGCCATAATGGTGGCAGTCACATTATTCAGTGCAGTATGTAGTTTGGCATAAGATAGGCAGTAGCTGAATTTATTTAAGACATTATTATGATTTATTGAGCAATTTGATTCACAGGAGTCAACAGGGTGATTAAGTACAGGTGGTTATTTAA